CCCCTGAACTCCCTAGATACCCCTGGAATTCCCGTTTTACCCCCCCCTTATTTCCCCTTATACTCCCCTTAATCTTCCCCTATATTTCCCCTTAATCTCCCGGGTAATCTCCCCAGTATATCCCCCCTGTAATCTCCCCTAGTATACTCCCCTAGTATACTCCCTGGTATTTTCTCCCTATAATCCCCCTGGTAATCTCCCCTGGTATACTCCCCGGGTATATTTTCCCTGTATATCTCCCCTGGTATATCTCCCCGGGGTATTCCTCCCCTGGTATATTCCCTAGATATCCCCCCTAGTATATCCCCCCTGTATATCTCCCAGTAAATCCCCCGGTATATCTCCCCTGGTAATTCCCCGGTATTTTTCCCTGTATTTTCCCCCCTGGAATATCCCCCCTGGTATATCTCCCTGGTATATCCCCCCTATATATCTCCCGGGGTATATCTCCCCGGTTTATCCCCCCCTTTAATCTCCCTGATATCTCCCCTGGTATATCTCCCTGTAATTCCCGTTATTCCCTAGAATCCCCCCTGGTATATCCCCCCTGATATCCCCCCGGTATATCTCCCCTGGTATACCCCCCTGGTATATCCCCCTGGTATATCCCCCTGTTTCCCCCCTGGTATATCCCCCCTGGTATATCCCCCCCGGTAATCCCCCCGTATATCTCCCCTGGTATATTCCCTGGTATATTTTCCCTTATTCTCCCCTGGTATATCCCCCCGGGTTATCCCCCCCTGTATATCTCCCCCAGTTATCTCCCCTGGTAATCTCCCCTGTATATCTCCCCGGTATTTTTCCCCCCTGGTATATTCCCCTGGTATATCCCCCCTGGTATATCTCCCCTGGTAAATTCCCCTGTATATTCCCTGGTATATCCCCCCTGTATATTTCCCCCGGGTTATCCCCTATATATCTCCCCTGGTATATCCCCCCTGATATCCCCCCGGTATATCTCCCCTGTATACCCCCCCCCGTATATCTCCCCTGTATATCTCCCCTGTATATCCCCCTGGTATATCCCCCCTGTATTTCCCCCTGGTATTCTCCCCTATATATTCCCCCTGGTTTATCTCCCCGTTATTCCCGGGTATATCCCCCCTGTATTTCTCCCGGTATATCTCCCCTGGTATTTTCCCCCCTGGTATTTTCCCCCCTGGTATATCTCCCCTGGATATCCCCTATTATCCCCTGGTATATCTCCCCTGGTATATTTTTCCCTGATATCCCCCCTGGTTATCCCCCTGGTATATTCCCTAGTATATCTCCCCTGGTAACCCCCCCCTTGTATTTTCCCTGGTATATCTCCCCTGGGTATATCTTCCCTGTATATCCCCCCCTGGTAATTCCCCCCTGTTTATTCCCCTAGTATATCCCCGGGTTATCTCCCCTGTAATCTCCCCTGGTAATTCCCCTAGTATATTCCCCTGGTTATCTCCCCTTTTTAAACCCCCCTGGTATATCTCCCCTGGTATATCCCCCCGGAAATTTTCCCCCGGTAATCTCCCCTGGTATATCTCCCCTGGTTATTCCGGGTTTATATTCCCCTGGTATTTTTCCCTGTATATTTCCCCTGGTATATCTCCCCGGGTTATTTTCCCTGTTTTTTCCCCCCGGGTATATCTCCCGGTATATTCCCCTGTATACTCCCCTGGTATTCTCCCCTGGTAATTCCCCTGGTATATCTCCCCGGTTTTTCCCCCCGGGTATATTCCCCTGGTATATTTTCCCTGATTTTCCCCCCTGAATTTTCCCCCCTGGTATATCTCCCTGGTATTTTTTCCCTATATATTCCCCTGGTATATCTCCCCTGGATATCTCCCCGGGTATATCTCCCCCCTGGTATATCTCCCTGGTTTATCTCCCTGGTATCCCTTCTTTTGAAAACTGCTCAACATTTAAAGATACTTACCTTTCTTACCTTCTCAACATTAAAATAATTCCCACATATCCCCATTGTAAACAAATGTAATGGTCCTGATTTTTTTTCGGGTTATTTTGGGTTCTATACTATGTATAATATTCTGTGAAATTGTGTATACTAAATATACTTACTTTCATAAAAATAAAAATTTTTTAATAAAAAAATAATTATTTTTTAATGAAAAAAGGTAATGTATTTGACAAAGAAACTTATTTTTTTCGCCCTTTGGGTATAAAAATAAGTTCACCAGAATACATTTTAAAAGACTAGGGTTTATTTTGTGGCTGCAATATTTTATTTCGTGTAAATTATATTACTTTTGTACCCAAAACAACAAAATTTTAAAAGTGTACTGGAATTTTTGGCAATGTTTTGGTCGTTACCTCCGGTGTCCCCCCTGACTTACACTTATTAATTCACTCCCAGTTATATCTGTAATAATAATAATTGTTAAATTATTATGGATAATTATGCTATTAAGATATTGATGCTATTAAGATAGTGTTAATTATGTAAAAATGTCAAGAATAAGAGCGAGATTGAGGAGACAAAAGCGACATTCTTTTGTTTAGTGTTTTGGTCGCTTACACTCCAGTGTTGACCACTGACTTAAACTATTAATCCACTCCAAGTCATTATTAATAATAATAATAATAGCGTTAATAATAATAATTCTCAGCTCATTAACGGGCCAAGAGCTGTAATCTTATCCCAGTTCAGCGGACACTAAAATCGGTAGAGTTTGAAGTCGATCGGCTGAGTGTCAGTGGAACACCTTCCATCTGAGCCAAGAAAACTAATAGGAAAAATAAATAAACGAGTCTAGGAATAATGAGAATAATGACTTGGAGGATTTTACTTAAAATTTATAATAAAAATTAGCCTTTGGTTCTGGTGGTGAAGTTGGGCAGGAGTAGGTAAGATCCTCGACACATATCTGTTGTTGTAGATAACCCTGGGCGGATAGTAACAGTCAGATAGTTTGGAGTCTCCTGTATTAGTTGAAGCACCACAAGATAAATAAGGGTCAATAGTAGTCTAACAATGTTAATTAGTCCAATTAACAAGCATCTTGTCCCTTTATCCGGCGTCTACCCTGGATGTCCACGACAGGGACATTGCTGGCTTTACCTGGAGAGAGTTCCGGGGGTCAACGCCCCCGCGGCCCGGTCTGGTAATTAGAAAACACAAACTGGTTAACAATGGTTATGTTAATATAACATTTAAGGCTGAATAACAGTGGTATTGAATGTTAAAATCACTACTGTTAACCAACAGAGAAAATAAACCAGAGAACAGTAATACTCCTGGTTGATTACCTTACCTGGTCACCAGGTCAGGTCAATACTACCAGGAGTAGAAATTGTGACAAATCAGGGACCAGGAGCTAGAGTTTCACCCCAGGTAACTCGTTAATGGTTCCTGGTTGCCTGAACAACCCTAACCCCACTAACAACCCAATTTCCCCCTCACACTGAGTCATCCTCGAGGTGACAGAGACCACCACTGGGAAAGTTGCAAACATAACACTGGTCAGGGAACACCTGCAACTACCAGTGTTGGCCTGTGTGTTGCTCTGCTTGCAACACACACGTGTTGCAAGTTTGAAGGCGATCGGCTAAGACGTTCCCGAGTTATGGGTTGAACTTTGGGTTTGATGGGTTAATCCCAATTTCTGGCAACTGTACAGAGAGAGAGAGAGAGAGAGAGAGAGAGAGAGAGAGAGAGAGAGAGAGAGAGAGAGAGAGAGAGTCAGTCTGGTCTGAGTCGTGGTAGAGGAAGGTTGTCTGTCTATCGGTGGAGTAGACTGGATCACTGAACTGGCTCCAGCCTTCCTGTTAGTGACTGTCCCTAGTCACCAGTGACTATTCCTAGTTGCCAGTGACTATTACTAGTCACCAATGACTATTTCTAGTCACCAGTGACTATTCCTAGTCACCAGTGACTATTACTAGTCACCAATGACTATCTCTAGTCACTATTCCTAGTCACCAGTGACTATTACTAGTCACCAGTGACTATTACTAGTCACCAGTGACTATTCCTAGTCACCAGTGACTATTCCTAGTCACCAGTGACTATTCCTAGTCACCAATGACTATCTCTAGTAACCAGTGACTATTCCTAGTCACCAGTGACTATCCCTAGTCACCAGTGACTATCCCTAGTCACCAGTGTCTATTACTAGTCACCAGTGACTATTCCTAGTCACCAGTGACTATCCCTAGTCACCAGTGTCTATTACTAGTCACCAGTGACTATTCCTAGTCACCAGTGACTATCCCTAGTCACCAGTGTCTATTACTAGTCACCAGTGACTATCCCTAGTCACCAGTGACTATCCCTAGTCACCAGTGACTATCCCTAGTCACCAGTGACTATTCCTAGTCACCAGTGACTATCTCTAGTCACCAGTGACTATTCCTAGTCACCAGTGACTATCCCTAGTCACCAGTGTCTATTACTAGTCACCAGTGACTATCCCTAGTCACCAGTGACTATTACTAGTGACTATTCCTAGTCACCAGTGACTATCCCTAGTCACCAGTGACTATTACTAGTCACTGGTGACTATTACTAGTCACCAGTGACTATCCCTAGTCACCAGTGACTATTACTAGTCACTGGTGACTATTACTAGTCACCAGTGACTATTACTAGTCAACAGTGACTATTACTAGTCACCAGTGACTATCCCTAGTCGCCAGTGACTATTACTAGTCGCCAGTGACTATTACTAGTCACCAGTGACTATCCCTAGTCACCAGTGACTATTACTAGTCACTGGTGACTATTACTAGTCACCAGTGACTATTACTAGTCAACAGTGACTATTACTAGTCAACAGTGACTATCCCTAGTCGCCAGTGACTATTACTAGTCACCAGTGACTATCCCTAGTCACCAGTGACTATTACTAGTCACTGGTGACTATTACTAGTCACCAGTGACTATCCCTAGTCACCAGTGACTATTACTAGTCACTGGTGACTATTACTAGTCACCAGTGACTATTACTAGTCAGCAGTGACTATTACTAGTCAACAGTGACTATCCCTAGTCGCCAGTGACTATTACTAGTCAACAGTGACTATCCCTAGTCGCCAGTGACTATTACTAGTCACCAGTGACTATCCCTAGTCACCAGTGACTCTCCCTAGTCACCAGTAACTATTCCTAGTCACCAGTGACTATTCCTAGTCACCAGTGACTATTACTAGTCACCCAGGTACCTACTTACTATCAGGTGAACAGTGACATCAACGTCAGCAGGTCCTGACATCAACGTCAGCAGGTCCTGACATCAACGTCAACAGGTCCTGACAACGTCAGCAGATCCTGACGTCAGCGTCAACAGGTCCTGACATCAACGCCAACAGGTCCTGACATCAACAGGTTCTGACATCAACGTCAGCAGGTCCTGACATCAACGTCAACAGGTCCTGGCATCAGCGTCAACAGGTCCTGACATCAACGTCAGCAGGTCTTGACATCAACGCCAACAGGTCCTGACATCAACGCCAACAGGTCCTGACATCAACGCCAACAGGTCCTGACATCAACGTCAGCAGGTCCTGACATCAACGTCAACAGGTCCTGACATCAGCATCAACAGGTCCTGACATCAACGACAACAGGTCCTGACATCAACAGGTCCTGACATCAGCGTCAACAGGTCCTGACATCAACGTCAACAGGTCCTGACATCAACGTCAACAGGTCCTGACATCAGCGTCAACAGGTCCTGACATCAGCATCAACAGGTCCTGACATCAACGACAACAGGTCCTGACATCAACAGGTCCTGACATCAACGTCAGCAGGTCCTGACATCAACGTCAGCAGGGAACATGGGTTTCTGCTATTTCCTGCTGACTCTGATGCTGACACCTCAAGGTAGGCTTTGTTAGGTGATATCGTAGCCCAGCCTGATCTATCGTAGTCCAGCCTGATCTATCGTAGCCCAGCCTGATCTATCGTAGCCCAGCCTGATCTATCGTAGCCCAGCCTGATCTATCGTAGTCCAGCCTGATCTATCGTAGCCCAGCCTGATCTATCGTAGTCCAGCCTGATCTATCGTAGCCCAGCCTGATCTTTCGTAGTCCAGCCTGATCTATGGGTAGCCCACCCTGATCTATGTAGTCCAGCCTGATCTATCGTAGCCCAGCCTGATCTATCGTAGCCCAGCCTGATCTAACGTAGCCCAGCCTGATCTATAGTAGCCCAGCCTGATCCATTGTAATCCAGCCTGATGTATCGTAGCCCAGCCTGATCCATTGTAATCCAGCCTGATCTATCGTAGCCCAGCCTGATCTATCGTAGTCCACCCTGATCCACTGTAGTCCAGCCTGATCCATTGTAGCCCAGCCTGATCTATCGTAGCCCAGCCTGATCCATTGTAGTCCAGCCTGATCCATTGTAGTCCAGCCTGATCTATCGCAGCCCAGTCTGATCTATCGTAGCCCAGCCTGATTTATCGTAGCCCAGCCTGATCCATTGTAGTCCAGCCTGATCTATAGTAGCCTAGCCTGATCTATCGTAGCCTAGCCTGAGCCATTGTAGCCCAGCCTGATCTATCGTAGCCCAGCCTGATCTATTCTATTCTTTCTATTTGATTCGCCGGTAATCCCGGCCCGGGTCTCTTCCATTTTGGTGACCCGGCATTGGCTCCCCGGGTAGGGAAGTGACATTTATCGTTACTTGCACCTGTGTAGCAGGTCTTCAGCAGGAAGGGGGGGGGGTACCTCACCGGCCCTATGGCCAGATGACGTACCAAACGTTAGTGTGCACTAACAGTGGCTGGTGTGCAGTGCAATGGAGGCCCCAAAACAGGCCCTCGCAGAACTTCCGGGGGGGGGGGGGGGGAACGGATGACATGCAAGGACTGGAAGTAAGGTTTCTAAGTCCTGACAGCTAAGTTTCACAAGATGTGTGCTCAAACCCCTCGGGTCTGCCTACTGGGGTATTGGGAAGTGTCTACGGCGAAGGGGCATCGTTGCCGGGCAGTCTAACAGGTAGTGCACCAAGGGCTGCAAACCATTTGGTCCAAAAGGGCACAAGGGCTCCTCTCGTGCCCGTTCAACAATCCGCGCAGTGGTGGGATACCCTAAAGCGTAGGCGGTGGATATGCACCCCCAGTTCCTGGACTGTGTCCGAATACTTGGGGGGGCACCCTGTGGGTCGCCCCGACATACCAACGAGGCTCCGTGAGTCCCAGGGTCAGGGAATGGGCGCCTGACTGCACCAGCAGCCCACAGCACAATCTGGTGAGGCTGATGGAGATCGCAGCCACGTGGCTGTGCCTCGAGGGTTGCAGTCCTAGCAGCCTCATCTGCAGATCATTGCAGGGATACCAAGGCTCGGGATCCAGTTGATGGTACCCCTGCGACCTGGGCCATGAGAGTTCAGGGTCACCCGGATGGATGTGATTAAGTGTATGTTGTCCTTGGCTCTCTGTGCATAAAGCGCTGGATCGCTGCCTTGGGAAATTCAAGTGGATGATGGGGGATGCTGATGGTCCGCAAGAGCATGCTGCAGAGCTTGTTGGATGGCAAAGAGTTTCGGCCTGGAGGATGGTGCAATGGTCTGGGGGGGCGCCAACCTGCTGTCAGATTGCTGTGGAACATCCAGCGCTGGGCGGCCTGCCACTGGGTCTCTGGAGCCATCAGTGTAATATGGCACACACCCTGGGCCTTCCGCACCCACAATGCTAGCCCAGGCAAAGGGGGTGCAGAATGTCCCGGGTGCAATGCCTCTTGCTGTCTGATAGGGGTTTTCCAGCGCACCGCAAAAAGCTTGGTGCCCAAGGGGGTGGCACCGTGTAGTTCGCTGCCAGTCTGTCGCAGCCTCCCGCCTGGAGCAAAGTCATGGGCAAGAGCTTCTGTGTGGGTCTGCTACCCAACCAAACCATCGGCGGCCCGGGGTGCAGTGGAATAACCTGTCCCTGGCGGACCGTAAATCTTTTCATCAGTTTGTCAGCCCCTGGGAGTCAGAGATACTTTGCAAAACTCATGGCCAGCTACCAGTTGATCTGTCTCAAGAGGCTGTAGCTGCACACTCAAGGTTCAGTTGCCCTGCAATTGGCCCTCCTCAGGACGCCCCAGCTTGGCCCGGACAGCTGTGTGCTGGATGACACAGAGGGATTTGATGTTTGTGGGGTCTGGCATGTGAACGAGAGCAAGTTGCCCCACTGAGTCATCGACCCGGGAACGTATTGCCTGGATGTAGAACAAACCTCATGACCTCGAGGCTGGCCCCAACCCTTGGGGGCAATGGCTACTCAATTGCCCTGCCCTCTTGCAGAAGCCCTCTCTTTAATGTGGCGCAAATGTTTGGAAGTGAGGGCCTGTCAATGTAAGATGCAAGTGTAAACTATACTGTGAACCCACTCCAGGTCGATGCACAGGACCCACGCCTCTGATGGGCACCTTGGTGCGAAGGATAATGGCTTTGGATTTCGCACAGTTATTCTTGAGCCCCAAGTGATGGCAGGTGGAAGCCAGGCGATCGAGGTCCTCTGGGCATGCTGCAAAAAGGCCGGCGCTTCCTAGGTTAAGACAAGTTGCCAGGTCATCGGCATAGCTGCGGAGGATGGTGCCTCTGGAGAAAGGACAGGCACACCAGGGGTGCATCAGTACATTGAACAGGGTGGGACTATGCACCCCTCCCTGTGGAGGTGCCGTTTGTCCAGGATCTTGAGAGAGAGGCATTGCAACTGGAAGTCGTACCCGGGGCCCGCCTGTCTGGAGATAGGAACGAGCCATGAAAGCAGCCTGCTTTAATCCCCCTGCGTGGCCAATCCAAGAGTGGAGAGGATGGCAGGTGCAATGGCTAGCTCAAAGCTTTCTCGAGGTTAAGAAAGAACCCAACGATGTGGGCTTGGAGCGTACCCGACCACAATGACGGAGTGTCAGTAGAGCTGGTAAGGCTTTTCGAAAAGTGCCCACTCCTCCGGTGTAAGACATTAGGTGGTGTTATGTAGGAGGGCCAAGCTTCCACCTCAGGCGCTCCATACACCATCCTTTCAGAACACTTCGAGATCGCAACCGGGGGTTTAAGGGAGATGGGTCTCACACTGCCTGATCCCCAGCTTAGGATTCGGTATGATGTCAGCTCCTTCATACGTCAGGGAGTTTGCCAGCTCGCCAAGTCTGGGTTGATGACCCCCAGGACTCTGAATGTCCAGTTGGCAACTGAGTGATCATGGCTATAGGTGTACCATCATGCCCTGGTGCAGTGTCTCAATGAGATGTGAAGGCTGCCTGGTGTCTGGTCGGTGAAAGTCTTCATCCGTTGATGTCCTTTGCTGCATGCCGCTTGGATCACCATCACCTTCTGGAAGGAGGGTGGCTTGGAGGTCCTGAGGGAAGTTTGAGCCATGGCCGCTCTGGAGGTGAATAGGCCACCAGACCTCTGCTTCCGTGGACGGGGTTATGGGAGCAAACGAATCCAAAAACTGCGACGCTTGACCCAGTGGCCAATCGCTAACTGGGTACAAATCTTCAGATAAGGTGGAGGAGTAGCTGAAGGAGGCACACCACTCGAACCATTTAGCCTGCCGGACCCTGTGTGAGACATGGCGTGCATGCCGCACCACTTCCCTGAGCAGACGCATTCATTCATTCATTCATTCATTCAATTCATTCATTCAAAGTTTATTTTCTATAAGGATTACAATGCTGAGTTTACAGAAATTTGGTTATTGTTTGGTTTACATGTAGTAAAATTGTGATTACAGAGTGTACCACTAGAACGCTTAGCATGGCTAGGCATTTCGGGCATACTTAGTTTTATTCTTAACTGTAAAATATTACAAATTATGAGGTAAGTTGGTATTATGGCTAAGTGACTAAATACTAGTTTGTGAGTTTAGAAATGTGAATGCTTTTGTTTTGGCACGTATATAGTTTTCAGTATTGGGGATCACAGGATTTCATTTTTTTAGACTGAGATTAATATTTCTGTTTATGTGTCAAATGGGTGAGTGAAGTGTAAGTGTGAACCACAGGGGGGCTGGTTTTCGTGTAGTTAGTTGACGGGGTGTATCAGGGAGATAAGATGTTTTCTAATGGTAGTTTGATAGGTGATGTTGTTTGTCTGACAGTTCTAGAGGTTCTCAGGTAGGGTATTCCTGATTTTAGGGCCTTTGACATACATTTGAATTTTTGTAAAGGTTTTAGTCGGACACGGGGAATGTAGTTGTGTGGTTTGTTTTCGGGTGTTATGCCTGTGGGTCTGTAACAACTATACAAGGAAAGCATTTTTGGTCAAGGAGTTGATATTAGAGTTTAAGGTCCTGTAGATATAGATTGCACAGTAGTAAGTGTGGATGTACTGAACTGGGAGTAAGTTTAGTTCTTTGAAGAGTGGGGGGGGTGTGCTGCCAGGTTGGGGATTTAGGTGATTAGTCTTACTGCCAGCTTTTTGTGGGTTATTACTGGCTTTAGGTGTGTTGCTGCAGTTGATCCCATAGCACAAATAGATAGGTGAGGTATGGATAAAATAAGTGAGTGGTATAGTGTGAGAAGGGCATTTTGCGGGCACGTAGTTTAGGTATCTTGGAGAGGATCCCAACCGTTTTGGATTACTTTTTTGGCTATATGCTGATATGGTGCTGAAATTTCAGGTTGTTGTCAAGGATACAGCCTAGGAATTTTCCCCCATTATTTCTGGGTTATTAGAGTGTTGTCTTTTAATGTTAAATTTGTTGCATCTCCTGCTCATGCTACCAAACTTATATTATAGTAGGTTTTGTCAGTGGTTAAGGTGTAAGTTTATTGGCTGTCATCCAAGTCGATATTTTTGTCAGCTCCCTTTCCTAATGGTGTGAGAGGTGGGCAAGTTTAGGGTGAGTGTTGATCATAAGTCGCTTGTCATCAGCAAAGAGAATGGGTTTC